CCTATTGGTATTGTGTCATCAAATAAGTATTCTGTTAGATGGGTTGACAAGAACATGCACTAATTATTGATGTCAAGAAACCTTTACGCAAACATGACATGATAATTAAAGAGTTAACACGACACAATTTATGCACCGTGTTTAATAAATAGGTTAAGACTTGACACGACACGACACAGTAAGACACGTTTAATTAAAATTTCATATTATTAAAGTGATTTCGAACATGAACTCCATTCCTTAAATAGATTTTTCTATCATGAACACGACATACTTGTTCAAACGGACTTATTCAATTATAAACATGTCATTAGTGTTAATTAGAGTAAGCACGATTACCATGACAAAACCAAATGCAAACTTCAACCTACTTATCTTAAGAGCCGATGCTCTCCAATGGAATTAGTATGGTGAACCATGTTTTTCACGACAAGGCTAAAAAGGAGAAACATTTAATTCTATATTTCTTCTTATATTGTATTTCATTATACTATTCTCTTTTTGTTGGACCATAATTGCTTCCAAATAAAAAATCAAAAATTGAACCAAACAAATCCATATTGCCTAAAACAATTTATTTTCTCTTAATAAGAACGATTAAGAGAAAATAAATTGTTTCATTTTATTGGATATTGGGTGATTAGTTTAGTTAAATGTGTTATTAATGGGTAATATATTTAATGGTAATGGGTTAAGAGTGGGTACCCACTTAACCCATTACACATGATATTTTTCAAAATCAAATTACTTTGTTTCATTTTATCTCTCTCGCTCCTCTCGTTTTTTCTCTCCACTCTTTATTAGTAACTTTTTTGAGTAATTAATTAATTAAATTTTTTTTTTTAAATGAAGTCATCCAAAAGAAAAAATCAATGCAATTCAAAGAAATTACTACCAAAGTTGAAAGAAAACATAAAGTACGTAATAAAATAAAGAATTTTGAACCATGTTGTAAAACAGATCAATCAAAATAAATTAAGATATTTAAAAATAAATAAATAAATGGTGACATGACATAATTAAACAAACATAAAAAAATAAAAAATAAAATAAATAAACATGATTAATGCAATTCAAAAAATAAAACATAATTAATTTTTTTTTAACAAGATTAATGCAATTCAAAGAATAATGTACCTGTAATAAAACAAAGAATTTTGAATCACACTGCGAAACAGATAAAACAAAGAATTTTGAACCATTACCAATTTAATATCTTGATTGCATTTCAATTAAACAATTACCTATTTAATTTTACTTGGTGATTTATTTTATTATTTGGTAAATTATTTTATTTTAATATGTAATTTTTTTTTATTTTAATTGGTAACTTATTTTGTTACTTGGTAAATTATTTTATCTATAAATGATTTGAAACATCTTGATTGTTAATTTATTAATCGTCATTTTATTTATATAAACTCTTTTATTTTAATTCATTTTATATCAATTAATAAAAAATTTTAATTGCTAATTTATTTTATAGCTTTATAGAAACTCTTTTATTTATATTCATTTTATTTATAGAAACTCTTTTATTTTAATTCATTGTATATCAATTAATAAAATTTTTAATTGGTAATTTATTTTATTATTTTGTAAATTATTTTATTAAATAATTACCTATTTTATTTTAATACTAACTTGTTTTAGTTGTTTTAATAATGATTTGAAACTTTTTGATTGAATTTAAACTAAGCAATTACTTATTTGATTTTAATTGATAATTTATTAATTTTTGGTAAATTATTTTATTAAATTGAATTTCAATTAAATAAATACCTATTTAATTTTAATTCGTAATTTAGCATAATAGGATTTATTTTAATTGGTAACTTACAGGATTTATTTTAATTTTTATTTATAGAAACTCTTTTATTTTAAGTAATTACCTCTTTTATTTTTATATGTAACTTGTTTATTTTAATTGGTAACTTATTAGATTTATTTTAATTGAAGCTCTTTTATTTATATTCATTTTATTTATGAAAACTCTTTTATTTTAATTCATTTTATGTCAAATAATAAATATTTTTTATACTAATAAATAAATAACTGAAATACTGAAATTCTTTACACTTTTAATAATAGTATAGATTTTTTATTTGGTAAATTATTTTATTAAATTGAATTTCAATTAAATAAATATCTATTTAATTTTAATTCGTAATTTAGCATAATAGGATTTATTTTAATTGGTAACTTATAGGATTTATTTTAATTTTTATTTATAGAAACTCTTTTATTTTAAGTAATTACCTATTTTATTTTTATATGTAACTTGTTTATTTTAATTGGTAACTTATCAGATTTATTTTAATTGAAGCTCTTTTATTTATATTCATTTTATTTATAGAAACTCTTTTATTTTAATTCATTTTATATCAAATAATAAATATTTTTTATATTAATAAATAAATAACTGAAATACTTAAATTATTTACACTTTTAATAATAGTATAGATATAAATATGTGGAAATTGTTTCTTAATATCTGGTAACGGTTAATTTTTATCATATCTGTGTATATATATATATTTATCAAAATCTCAAAATACCATTATAATCTAAAATTAGTATTTTTTATTTTTATTTTGCCTTAAGGGTATTTTAGGTATTTTGGTCTTTAAAATGTATTTATTTGTTTAATTTGGAAAATGTAAGCATTTTTCTTTTTTATATATATATATTTTTATTTTTATAACAGGAGGGTATTTGCACATTATGTATATAATAAGTTATTTATTTATTTATTATTACTATTATTCATTTTTTTTGGTACTCTATCCTAATTTTTACTAACCACATAATTATAAATGACATTACCAATTTGAAGCTTAAAGTTACTTGTTTATAGGTTTTATTTTTAAAAATTTTAATTTTTTTTTAATGAACTCATAATATAATTTAAAATTACATTAAAACCACATTCTTTTAAGATAGTTATAAAATTACGGAAATATATTTGTGACATGTCTTATTCATATTTAACAAAAATTAATTTATTTAAATATCAAGATACTTTTAGCTCTGTCCAACACATATTCGGATCTTATTTAACACGTGTTTGAATCTTCATCACACCCAGAAGAGTAGTGTAAGTAATTCCCTGGATCAAAACTTAGATTTGATAAATGAATTTTAGTCACTATATTTTTAACAAATTTTTGGAGTCAAGTTTAGCATACGAAGTTAAAAAATGAAACTAAAAACAATAAAATAAAATAATGACGATCATGGACCCCACATTTTTCTCCTTTCATACTAAAATACAGTCCCCTCCTCATTTCAAGAGATTGATAAACACGCTTGATCACGTGAATATGAATAGTATAAATTTGGCAATATAAGTAATAAATAATAATAATAAACAACAGATGATAACTATTTATAAAGATTGACCTAACGGAAAAAATTTTGGGACTGTATCTCACGAAGTATCACATTTCATTGATTATTAAAAAAAATTAAAATAAATTTGGATCATTCCCAGCGAAATCCCTCTCTTGGATTCCCCAAACTTCAATTTTATGGTCCAGCTTCAACCACGTTCTCCGAATATCTTGAGTATTAAAAAATTCTAAAATGGATTTGAATCATTTTCAGCGAAATCTCTCTCTTGGATTTCCCAAACTTCAATCTTATGGTCCAGCTTCAACTACGTCCTCGTTTGGTCAAAATTTATCACTTATAAATTCAATTGTTTACTTAAATTTTAATCATGTAGCAGCATTTGAATCACGAGATTGAGGTCGATCGAGTTTGGAGGAGATATTTGACTAAAGAGGATTGGGGGTGGGGGATTCACTCTAAGCTCAATTATAAAAAAACAGAACACATGGGACATGGGCATGAAGTACAATTAGAAATGTCTCCACCTCTCTAACCTTGTCCTACAAGGGCTGAAAGAGTGGTTTGGAAACCTACTAGCATTGACTTCAGCTCATATATTTGGAACTACATTGGACCAAAAGGCCCCAATGTCAATTTGAAGGCTATGTATGTTATGGTACAAAGGCTATTATGTTCCAAGACACTAATAATTCAGTTGATGGTCAATAAAGTTTGGGCTCATCAAAAATATCATTTGTGTTTTTGCAGGCACAAGATTGCATTTGTTCAAGTACTAACAAAATTTAGTCCTACTTGGGTTCCCAAGTTTTTATTGAGTGTGGTCTTCAAGTCTCTCTGTATCATATTTGGTCATTTGGGGCTCTACTAATAAAAAAATCCTTAAAATGTCAACCACTTTCAAGCTTCTCTTGGCAAATGGTTGTAATATCAAAAAGATATTCAAGACGGAGTCAGGATTTTATTTCAGGGGCACAATGCACCTATCGAGAGAAAAAAAAAAAAAATCAACAAATATAACAAATATAATTTTTCTAAATCAAAAGGCAAACAAAAAGAAAAAATAATTGTAAAATAATATGCTAAATAAGTAGTGTAAAAAAATAAATACTTGGGCAAATATAAGAACCAAAATATTGATTAATAATATTTTTGTTAAATACAATCACAATTGTCTTTGATGGCTATTCTCATTTTGAAGCAATTTATGAATTGATTTAAAGATTTAAATAAGTAGAAAAAAATAAAAAGAATAAGAAGAGAAAAACTGTTACAGTACATACACTATAAGTGAAGAAAGAAAATTTTTGAAAAAGGAAAGAAAAATATGGAGTAATTGAAGAAGGGGATATCTATAAACTTTTTCTTTTTCAAAAGAAAATTAGAGGAATTTGAAAATTTTAAGGGGGCCATTATTCAAAATTGTCAAAAATATTTATTACTAGTTATTTATATTTTGTATTAATTAGATGGAATATATATATAAATATAAATATATATATGTATACTCTTTTTTTTTGAGAAACATTTTGCGTATAAATAGCATTTGTTTACTTAATTACAACGGTCTTTAAATAAAAGACCTCACCCAAAAAACACAGTGTCTTAAGCGACACGCACTTACTATTCAACAAAGACGCGCACCTAACTGTTGTAAACATATGCGCCGACCCCCTCTCTCTCTCTCTCTGATTTTAAGAAAAAACAGATCCCCTTGGCATCCTCTCTTGTCCAGACCTGCAAGTCCACCTCTTTCTCCCTCTACAAACTTTCTCTCTCCTCCCCTCTGTCTGTTAATCTCTGTTGCCACTGCCACGTGTACACACATTCATCCCATCGACCCAATCAATTTTCACAGGTCCAAGTCAGTCCACTGCTTTCTCTCTCTCCTCTCCATGTGATCGTCTTCAGCTCTCTCTCTCTAGAACTCATCACTTCTGATTTTTCCGTTCAACTCTTCTTTCCCTCGCTATATATATTGATATTGACGTATTGATTTGTTGATTAATCGATCGATATACAGTCTATCATTTTGGTGATTGTTTTGACGTTTCAACAAGATCTGCTGAGCATTGGAGGAGACAAATTCGATCTGGAAGGAGATTTGTTCGATCACCGTTTTGGTTGCGGTCGGGGCAGCAACAGCGCCATTGTTAGATGGCGCTGTTCAGAAGGTTCTTCTATCGGAAGCCGCCTGATCGGCTTCTCGAGATCTCCGAGCGAGTCTACGGTTTGTTCTTTTGCTCATTCATGCTGCTCTGTTTCGAAATTGGGAAGTTCGAAAATTTTGAGCTCCATTGAGAATTCAATTGCAATTGGGAATTTCGAAATTATATGGCATTTTATGTTCGGCGAAGTGATGCGATTGCTTAATCATGCAAAGTGTTTTTGCAATTTTTGCTTCATTTGATTAATTTGCTAAGATTTTGGGTTATTCATGAATGGTGATCTAATGAACTGAGGATTGATTATTCTAGTGTTTTTTTATATTTCGAGTTCTAGTTTTGAAATTGTGTCTTTGATGGATTAAGACTATTATTATTATTTTTAAAGCTTAATAATTGGAAAAGGAGTCTTGTATATCTACTGGACCAGCATTCTCAGAAATTGAAGATTTCCATGTTCATTTATAGTTGAAGTGATTTTAAGTTGAGAAATAGCTTAGGAACCTGTTTATTCCACAAAATAATCAATTTCCCATGTTCTTGCCTAAGAAATTTGAATTTCATGAGTAGGAATAGGGTGGGTTTCTTCAGCTTTGTTGTTAAAAATTGTTTTTGACTTGTTAGAAGAATTTCTTATAGAAGTTTAAACTTTTCTTTATTCTTGTTTTCCCCAATTATTTTTTTTTTTTGATAAATTTGTTTTCCCCAATTATTGTGAGGTGATAGTTCATAAATTTTGTTTTTCTCCATTTGCAGTGTTTGATTGTTGCTTTTCCACGGATGTATTGGAAGAAGATGAGTACAAAGTCTACATGGGTGGTATTGTAACTCAGCTACAGGACCACTATCCTGATGCTTCTTTCATGGTTTTCAACTTTAGAGAAGGGGAAAGGAGGAGCCAAGCTTCAGACACATTGTCTCAATATGACATGACAGTCATGGAATATCCTCGGCAATATGAAGGGTGTCCTCTGCTACCACTGGAGATGATCCACCACTTCCTGCGATCCAGTGAGAGCTGGTTGTCACTGGAGGGGCAACAAAATGTGCTGTTGATGCATTGTGAAAGGGGAGGATGGCCTGTGCTCGCCTTCATGCTTGCAGGCCTTCTGTTATATCGAAAACAGTACAATGGTGAGCAGAAGACTCTTGAAATGGTATACAAGCAAGCTCCAAGGGAACTTCTTCATCTTTTGTCTCCTTTAAACCCACAGCCTTCCCAGCTGAGATATCTTCAATACATTTCCAGAAGAAGTAATTTGGGTTCAGATTGGCCGCCGTCGGATACACCCCTAGCTTTGGATTACATCATACTTAGAGTACTTCCACTGTTTAATGGGGGAAAGGGTTGTCGACCAGTAGTTCGTGTTTATGGTCAGGACCCTTCTTCAACAATGGCCAACAGAAGTTCTAAGCTTCTTTTTTCGACCTCAAAGACAAAAAAACATGCTCGCTTCTTCCTACAGGTACTGCCAAATCTACACATTTGAAAACTAAAGGATGAACCAATCAAGTATTGAAGTTTTCTTTATGACTTCTAACTTCTAACTGCAGGCAGAGTGTGCACTAGTTAAAATTGATATCCATTGCCGCGTTCAAGGAGATGTAGTTCTAGAATGCATCCATTTGGATGATGATCTAGGAAGGGAGGAAATGATGTTCAGAGTTGTGTTTCACACAGCATTTGTCAGGTCAAATGTGTTAATGTTGAACCGTGATGAAGTTGATGTTCTGTGGGACGCGAAGGACCAGTTTCCAAAGGACTTCAAAGCGGAGGTAGGGTATCATTTTTATTTATGTGTCATGTCCTTTTTCTGAAGCTGTAGGAGTTGATTGCATACTCATATCTATGTCAGGTACTCTTTTCTGACGCTGATGCCATTCCATCTATCCCCACCACAGAAATAGCAAACGAGGATGGGAATGAGACAGAAGCATCACCTGAGGAGTTTTTTGAAGTCGAGGAGATCTTCAGCAATGCAGTAGATGGACAGGATAAGAAAGGGGACTTAGATACTCAATTAGTTCAACAGAGGACACAGGATGACGAGAATCACAATGTAGTTTGGAAGGAGGATTTGGAACCTCACACATTTCAAGACTGTGCATCAGATGATGGGAATCACAAACAGGTCGGGAAGATGGATTCTGATATTCATGCTGTGAAATCCATTGCTTTAGATGATAGGGGCAATGAGTTAGACTCTACGACAGTCACTGCAGATATCTGTAGCAAGTCAGAAGAAATAGAGGATAGACAAGATAGAGAAGATATCGCAATGCAGAAGATCTTAAAAAAGCAAGGAACACAACAGAAGTTGAGTGCTGATCTTTGTAGACAAAAATCTGAAAAATCTCTCCCGCCTACACCAAAGAAACTGCCAAATTCAAACACAAAACCGGTTGCTGATTCAGTTGCTGCAAAACAAAAGGTTAAACAGCAAGAACCTCAGGGTACTGGTGCAAGACAGGCGAAGCCAAATGCAGTATTACGGTGGATCCCTACTAACAAAGGCTCTCATACTAATTCAATGCATGTTTCATATCCACCGTCAAGATATAACAGTGCACCAGCTGCACTAGCTGCACTAGCCCTTGCGAAGGATTCTCATGTGGGTGGAAAATCAAAGGCTCCTGCTGCTGCAATTCCAACTCATGATATCACTAAACCTATCGGTCATGAAATGGATCCTATGAAGAGTGCAGAAGGGTCACCAGTGAAAAACACTTCTTCTGTGCCATCTCTAGATGAACCATTACTTAAAGTGCTGTGCCCTCCTTCTTCGACTTCACGACCACCAAATCCTGGCCCTCATCAAGTTGTTCCTCCTCAATCTTCCAGTGAGACTTCAAATGATTTTTCCTTACAAATTCCCATGACAATTCTACATGCTGAAGAAACTCAGACCTCCCCACCACCACCCCCGCCTCCACCCCCTCCTCCTCCTCCTCTACCTCCCTTTTCTAGCTCTTTGTTGTATACTTCTTCTTCCATGCCTTCTTCCCCACCTGCCTCCATTATGCAGGTGAAAAGGACAGGTTTGTCCCCTTCACCTCCACCCCCGCCTCCGCCTCCCCCTCCCCCTCCCCCTCCTCCCCCTTCACCATTCACACGCAGTGCAGTTCTTGGAACTCCTTTCGCATCACCTCTGCCTCCACCTCCCCCTCCCCCTCCTCTAGCTGCAAGCTCCTGGGTAACTCTTCAAGGAATCCCTCCCCCACCTCCACCTCCTCCCCCTCCTTCTCAGCCTGCGTTTGCATCTGCTACCTCAATGCCTGTTGGATCTGGAGTTTCTACTCCCCCTCCCCCTCCACCTCCTCCTCCTCCTCCTCCTCCTCCTCCGCCTCCTCCTCTGCATAGCGCTTCACCACCACCTGTTTGGAAGGTTGGAGCTTCTGCAATTGCTCCCGTAACAATCTCAGTTACTCCACCTCCACCACCACCCCCTCCCCCTGTGTATGCATATGCTACATCAAAGTCTGCTGGACTTGGAGTTTCTACTCCACCGCCTCCGCCACCACCACCTCCTCCTTCGTATGGCACTCCACCCCCACCCCCACCTCCTCCTCCACGTGGTGCTCCTCCACCACCACCTCCTCCTCCTCCTCCTCCTTTGCATGGCATGCCACCACCACCACCCCCGCCTCCTCCTCCACGTGGTGCTCCACCACCCCCACCTCCTTCTTTACATGGCACACCAACTCCACCCCCACCTCCTCCACGTGGTGCTCCACCACCACCACCACCACCTCCTTTTTCTGGTTCCTTGCCTCCTCCACCTCCTCCATTACGCCGAACCCCATCTCCTCCACCTCCTCCGATACATGGAGTCCCAACTCCACCGCCACCTCCGCTGCATGGAGGGCCCCCTCCCCCACCTCCAATTCGTGGAGTACCCCCACCTCCTTCAATGCATGGAGCCCCACCTCCTCCACCACCTCCAACAAAAGGGGGTCCACCTCCACCACCTCCTCCCGGAGCTCGTGCACCTGGTCCTCCACCACCACCTGGAGCACCTAGACCTCCAGGTGGTGCACCTCCACCACCTCCTCTCTTTGGTGCCAAAGGAGCAGCATCTGCAGGAAGAGGGCGCGGGCTTCCACGTCCTGCAGGGATGTCACCTGCTTTAGTGCCTCGAAGATCTACCTTAAAGCCACTGCACTGGAGCAAGGTAACCAGGGTATTGCAAGGAAGCTTGTGGGAAGAATTGCAAAGATTTGGAGAACCTCAAAGGTATTGCAACTTCTCTTACTGCTAAGAAGTTTAAAGTTTACAATGACAAGTGGTTTCCTCTCTGCCATGGTTACTTATTCAGTATGCTACTATTCCAAAAAATGAAAAATAAATATTCAGTTGGCTTTTCGTACTATGTTCATGGTCATTGAGTCTGAAGTTTGCTTGTATTTGTTTTACAAAAACAAACACAACCATGCAGACAGATGCATATAATTACAAGTCATTACACTTTAAATGTGATTATTTTCCTTTCTACTTGTAATTTTGGCCTTCTATAATTCACTGATGTTGTATCCTCTAATCTTAGTGTGCCAGAATTTGATGTGTCAGAACTTGAGAGTCTTTTCTCTGCAACAGTCCCAAAGTCTGATAGCTCAGGTGGTAAATCTGGAGGGAGGCGGAAGTCTGTTGGATCCAAAACTGACCGAGTCCATCTGGTAAAGTCGTACATATCTAATGATTTTTCCTAGAAAAATTCTTTTCTGGGAGATGTCACTTCTCTCTGTCTCTTTCTCTCTCTCACACACACAAAATATTAGTCAAAGACAATTGGCACAATAATTTAATGGACTATATAATTTAGTTATTGGAGTCTATTGGTTGAGCTTGTGGTTAATTCAAATACATTCATAGGGTCTTGACAAAGCCATGACATGAGGTTGCACTGAAATGAATTGGTGTGCTGGTGTGGGACTGGGGAAAGTGCTGCTTCTGATGTTTGTACACTGTCAATGCCATACTCAGCTTTAGAATTTTGACATAGATACTATCTGTAAACATTAGAATTGGCCTTCTCAGCAAGGCAACAAAATTTGTCCTGTATGTTGTTCTTCATGGGCTTAAAAGTGGCTTTCTCAGTCAAGGAAGCAAAATGTTGTGCTTCATGTGCTTTGGTGGATTCAAAGTTAACCAACTAAACATTCGATATGAAATTTTCTTTTTGATGGAGAGTTATTTTTGTTCTTTCGCTTTTATTTTATTTAATTTTTTATATTTCTGTTGACAACTACAGGAATTTTTTTTTTTGAGTTGCAAGCGCCAATATTGGCGAATTGTATGCTAAAAGTGAATCTGGTGTGTTTTATTTGGTCTTTGATTTTCAATACATGACATTGTGATCTATTTTTGCTTTAAAGGGGAACTTGATTAATAGAAGTTGGCCTGATTAATATATTGCTTATTAGAGAGGGTAAAGTGCAAAAAACACCCCTGCTATATAAAAATGTTCAAAAAACACCACTGCTATTTAGTATGTGCATATAAATTCCTAACATTTGAAAATATGTGCTATTTGTCCCCTTAATCAAAAAAATATATACCCTTAAAAATTGAAATCAGTGTTTTTTATTTTTTATTTTTATTGTCTCAAGGGTATTTTAGGTATTTCAGTTCAAATTGAAAAAATGTCCTTATTTGTTCAATTTGGAAAATGTAGGGGTTTTTTGTTTTAATACCAGGGGAGTATTTGCACATTCGGTATATAACAGGGTTTTTTTTTGCACTTTACCCTTTTAGAGAAGTAATAGATGAAAGGGTTAATTTCACCTACACCCCCTGATCTTTGATCATATTTCACTTACACCCCCTCTAGGTTTCAATATTCCACCTACCTCCCTTGACCTTTTGATTTAGGTAGCAAGTTACCCCTTGCCGTTAAGTAACAAACAGTTAATGCTGATGTCAGCCAAAAAAGATGGGTAAAAAGTCAATTTTGCCCTTTCAATATCTTTAACCCAATTGACTAATGCATAATTACAAAATTATCCTTAACTTATTAACTCAAAAGTACAACAATGCCCTTCTATATTCACTTTCTCTACCAAACACCATCATCACCATCACAACCCCCAATACCTACCACCATTTTGCGTCACCACCACCACTATTGTTTCACACTCTCTCTTTGTATCAAAAAAAAAAAAAAAAAAAAAAAAAAAAAAAAAAAAAAAACCTCATATTCTCAAGCTCATCACAAATAGAAATAGGGACTTTAAACCACTAAAAAGCTACTAAACATGAGAAAATAAAAGAACAAATATATATATATATATATATATTGTGAAAGCAAAATCGTTTCTGGGTATTATTTGTTGAATATAGATAATTTATTTACATAATGTATTATTATATTGATTGATTATATGCAATTTAATATTTGATGATATTCAAGTATTACAAGACTTGGTAAATAAATTATAATGTTTAAACAAAATGATATAGTTGTCCAACGGTTACAAAAAGATGTTATGGTGTGGCTGTTAAAGCTCTCAAGTAATTGAATCAAGATTCGTGTAACATCATGATACTTCCTTATCGACTACTAACTTGTAGGTGAGGCGCTTGGCGTAAGGAAGAGCCCAGTTCACCAATGATGCTTTTCTAGGACATATACAAATACATACTGTAATTGAAGACTACACAAGATAACAGCATAGCATGCCAAAAACATACTGTTTATTAGGAATTGATTGAGTTTAATTAATACTATTTTCACTCATTAAAAATTCAGATCTCTAGCTCGAGTTCTAGAAGGAGCTTGAGATTAAGGCTGAAATTGTTTAAACAAACAAATAAATCAAGCGATGAACCCATCTTCTCTGGCGATGGTATCTTCAACGCGGACGGTGAGAGCTAGATGTTGCAGAGACAAGTCTCGAGTCCCGACGTGAACAATCCTTGCCTGCCGATCAGCATCGCGAGCTCATCGTCACAGACGCTTCAGGCACTTCATCCATGCCAGGCAGCCCGTCTGCTTACTGCCAGTTTCAGCTGTGTCGCCGGCTTCGTCATACTCTGTCTTCGCCGGTAAGTTCATTGCCCGCCGACATTCCAAGCTGTCGTGCCGTTCTCCATGGACGACTAACAGACCCACTGCTCGCTGATTAATCGCAGTGTCCTCCATTGAAGCATCGCGATGGTCACAATCTGCTTCACGCCGTTTCGAGTACACCCTTGCTGGCCCTGTTCCTCCTTGCTCTCCGTATATATATGTGTATGTAATGTATCTTGACTAGGGAGGGTGTTTTTGTCTTTTCGATTCAACTCTAAATTTTTATAAATATTAATAATATATAATTGATGGGCAAAATTGTAAAATTACACAAATCCGTTAGTAAACTAAACGGCCGTTACAATGAAGGGAGGTAAGTGGAATATTGAAACCAAGAGGGGGTGTAAGTGAGATATGGTCAAAGGTCAAGGGGTGTAGGTGGAATTAACCCTAGATGAAACTATGGAAGTTCTCCATTTGCGACATTATTTGGATTCATCTTTTATAAAAAGTTAATTTAGTAGCAGAATATATATATGTTTGCTATTGTTTTTCTTTCTTTCTTTTATTTTTTTCCTCCTCCCTTTCATTCTATGGCACATTGGAAATATTGAAAGCAAATATGATTGGTGCCTCTAAGTACCGGCCTCATTCGATGCTTGAAATGTAGGGAATACAGTGTATGTAGGGATTCTCGATTAAACTTCTACTGCTATGGGGGTGAATTTTACAGTATTTCTTAGTAAAAAAAAAATGTCTCAATATGTTTACAATAATTATTTGGCTTCTGGACAAAAATATCATATTGAGGTAGGATTGTTACATTTAATTTTTTCTTTCTTTCCTGAATGGGATAGTTTTATAAAAATAACAAAACAACTGTACAAAAGAGAAAGCAGGGGCATACCCCCACTAATGATTGTTACACTTCATTAACTAGTGGGTTCTTACTAACATTATTCATTGTCAATTATTTCTTTTTGGTTGATGATTGTAGAACATTTTATGTTGCTCAAGTAATTGTCGCGTTTTGCAATGTGACACTCTTTATTTCATGATCATAGTTTCTCATTTCCTGTACCTCTTACTAGTTTACGTTCTTTGTTACACATTGTAGATTGACCTGAGGAGGGCCAATAACACTGAAATTATGCTCACAAAAGTGAAGATGCCTCTTCCAGACATGATGGTAAGTTAGTATGGGAAAACTTCGTGAATCTAATATATTCTTCCATTAATTGTGAAAGTAGACAGTACTTTCTTGATCAGATTAAAATCATGGTGTTTGATACGGTGTTTCCCCGAAACTTGTGCAGAGAGAACATGTTATTATGAATATGATGCATGATATATTTGTCTTCTATTTTTTTTCCCCCTGAATGGGATGATTTTATAAAATATGAAATAAAGGACATGGACAAAAGGAGGCATACCCCCTTAATACAAAACTGAAATGGAGAAAGCCCATTTCCAGTAAATCCAAAAGAACAGCAAAACACAACTATTAACTAGCACCAAAAGAACAGCAAAACACAACTATTAACTAGCATTTCCTGTAATACTGCGGTTGTTTCTCTTCCCCAATAAACCAAATAATAGTAATTATGGTTGAATTGCAGGCCGCAGCACTAGCCATGGACGATTCAATTTTAGATGCTGATCAAGTAGACAATCTTATAAAATTTTGTCCTACAAAAGAAGAGATGGAACTTCTTAAGGTGACGCTATACCACAAAGCAATATTTCCGTAAATTTCCTGTCATCTATCACATGATTCTTTTTTATATGATAGGGTTTGCTGCTGTGAGATGTGATCTGATACTTCTATCCTGTTCTTTGTTTCCTTCTTTTCTTTTAATTGGTTCTTCTTATAATGATTGTTCAGAATTACACTGGTGACAAGGAGAGCCTTGGGAAGTGTGAACAGGTCTGTAAACCTCATCATTAGCTTGTAAAATTTTAGCACTTTGTGAATCTAAATGTTTTGGACAAGATACAGGTGTTTTCCTTGATGCATTGATGATTGAGTTGTATTTATGTCCTTGATTAATTTATTTGAACATTTTGAGTGTTTGTATTTATGTCCTTGATTAATTTATTTGAACATTTTGAGTGTTAGTTGGCTTAACCCTTTTTGTTCAGTTATAAATTATGTCTTCATATGATATACATTTCCTATTCATTTAAGTGAAAACTTGTTAGGCCTCAGTTTTTTCCTGTTCAACTTATATACTCATCTCTCTTTGTCTATCTCTCTCTCTCTCTCTGTATATATATATATATATATCTGTGTATATATATATATATATATACATATTTAAAGTACATCATTAATTTTATCTAGGATTTTCCTTATCCTTTTCTAGGTAATGACAGTTAAATCATTGTTTGTATTGTTTGGATCATTAAACTTTCATACAGTTAGTCTCTGTAATTTTTTTATGCTTGAAAGGTTTTTGTCACGATATTTGGTCTAGAATCATCGTAGCCTGCTTCAATCCTTCTGCTGTAGTTTATAACCGTTGGTTAAAGAGATTGTGCTTTGGAGGGTAGATGTATGTAATTCAAGTTTCTGAGCGTGAGTTGCCCTTTATTATTTTTGAGGAAAGAGCATTTCACACACACACACATATTATTTTATCAATGAAAAACCCTTTCAGTGGTGTAAAATTTAATTAGACCTCACATTACGACAACTTACTGTTTGAGAAAAAAATGTGTAAGAGTTTGTTACAGAACTGCCTCATTGCATTGATTGTCGTCACTCTCTCTCTCTCTCTCTCTCTCTCTGTCATATACATGAACAGAGTAGGTGATTAGAGACCCTCCTTTCGTATTCCATAATCAAGAAACTTGCTGAGTGAAAAGAAAAGGAAGAACAAAAAAAGCGAAGTACAACTTGCAAAAAAAAAAATATTCATGTGACCTATCATTATTCTTTCACTTTTATCTTTCAGTTCTTTCTGGAGCTGATGAAGGTGCCGAGAGTGGAGTCCAAATTAAGAGTTTTTTCTTTCAAGATTCAGTTCAATTCTCAGGTTTGATACCTAAACTTTTTTCTGCAATTTTGGAACTTGCGAATTTTTCTAAATTGTTATGTAGCCTCACTTGTCTAATTCCTGACCAGATTTCAGATTTCAAAAGGAGTTTAAACACTGTAAACTCTGCATGTGAAGAGGTATGTCACTTATAGTACTGAAGCCTTTCATGCAGTTGCTTTATCTTCTTTTTGACATAATTTGTTTCATGTATTAGGTCCGGAATTCACTCAAATTGAAGGAAATCATGAAGAATATTTTATATCTGGGGAATACATTAAATCAAGGAACTGCAAGGGGTAAGGACCTTCATATTGATTCAGAAGCTCTTGCTGGTTCTCTTTAATTATATCCCTTTACCTATAAAATTGGTTTTTTTATTTTATGCTCAAATATCTCATTAACTGGGTGCATCGTAACTCTTGCGATCGTTTAAAACTCCAGTTTCTCACCAAAGATTGAGGACAAATAGAGAAGAAGAATAAGATAGATAATATTTTTTTTTTTCTTTTCACTTTAGTCGTTCTCTAAGAATACCTGCTGAAATAATGTCCTGCACTGTGGATTATGAGGCTCGCTGAGTATCTTCCTTTAAGTTGGATTTAAACCTCCGTGAACAGCATTAATGAGTAACCAATATTTAGATTGTTGGCATGAAGAAAATTTGATTTTGATGCACAGTGAAGACATAATGTGCGGTTCTGAATTCTTATCATTTCTGGATTGTACTAGATTAAAGAAATAGAGATTTCTTTCAAATATATTTGGGCTACATACCTAAAGCAAAGTATGTGCCCTACCATCTAAAGTGAATTGGATTGTATCTTCTTTATATTAGAGGTTTATAAGTTATAACCGGCTATATAGTGTGAGTTCAGGAGTTTCTAAAGATCTTGACAACTATTGTGGAGAGTAATATGTAATGAATGCTCAATAGATCTATGGATTTCATGTCCACAGGCCTGATTTCCATACTCTAGTCTCTAAAAGATCATCATTCTCATCATCATCATCCTTGCCTTTATCTCAAACAAATGGGTTAGGCACATGAATTCTTTTTGTTTCCATTCTATGCTTTCTCTCTAAAGGCAGAGATAATTACCTAATTTACCCCAGTAGAGCATTTATGGTTTTCATTGTCACGACCCACCCAACCTGTGTAGATATTATTTGCTTTGCACACTCTCTGTGCTCATGGTTTTCAAAATGTGTCTACACTGTTGGGAGGTATCTACATATATAAGTGCCCACAACCACTCTCCTAGGGGATGTGCGACGTCACAATCACCCCCTCTTGGGACCAGCGTCCTCGCTGGCCTGAGCCTTGTGGGCTTGTGCATGCCCCCCCCATTTCCGGCTGGGGATTGGATTTGATACCATTTGTCACGACGTGCCCAACCCATATAGATATTGTGCACTTTGCACTCTCCGTGCTCACAATTTTCAAAACGCGTCTACATAGTTGGGAGGTGTCTACACATATAAGTGCCAACAACCTCTGTCCCCCAGGCGATGTGGGATGCCACTTTCATAGTCGGAGATGCATGGATCGAGATTACTCGGTACCCGTAGACCATTATAAGAGACAACACATGCATCCTAAATTTGCTGTAGACCATTATTGTGTTTCACACCTTATACATCTTGCCTTGGCTTTATTGGGACAAACATCAGTTCAATCAACACTTCCAGACTGGCGTAAAAAGAAACAATAATGGTTGTCAAATCATGTGCTTTATAGTGTCATTTTTCTGTTTTTAAGTATGCCATCTCATATTGCATTTTGTATTCTAATATTTTTTCTAAATCTCTAAAATAGTTGAGGAAAATAAGCATGCATGCGGAGAACATTTATTTAGTTCAACTGTGCAAACAAGTTTTTAACAACAGTAATGTATGCCGTGATGGTAACAATCGCAAAGACATGTATGCGGGTGTAACTGACGTAGCAAAACTTCTGAAAACGTATTGATATGAATGTTTTAATATCAGAATCCCATTAATTTGGATGTAAATGATTTTAATGATTTTTTTTTTAATTTTTTAATTTACAAGGATGATTTTGTATGGTTATGAATTTTATACTTTCTTCGTCCCAAAATAAATGTCCCTTTTTAAAAATTTAACTTTTTAAGAGGATCAGTTTAGTATTTGTTTTATTTATTGTATTAGTACTTTTTGTAAGTTTAATGCGAGAAGGTTAAATTGGTAATGTTACAAAAAATAGTACTTTGACTTTTCAAATGGGACATTTATTTTGGGTCAGCCAAAAATGGAAAGGCGGACATTTTTTTTTTTGGGACAGAGGGAGTATTATACTTGGTATTTAATATGAGGTTGGTGTCAGCAAGAACAGATTTTCAATAACTTTTACTTTTCAGTAGATTTTATGAACAAGAATGCACTTAAGCCAACCCTCCTGATGATATAAATATTGTGTATATACTCCCAAGAAGGTTGAAATCCCCCTCATATATCCAAATGTCTAAATAAGGACTAACCGTCATGTTCCCATTAACAGAGAAAAGGAAAAGACATAAATGCCCTTATCTGAATAGAATAAAAGAAATAAAAATTAGAGATGATTTGTTTCCTTTTTGCTCCTCTCAACCCAATCAAGCATCAAACAACTCTCTTCGCTCAAACTCTCTATTTATCAATCCTCTCCCTCTCTGTCTCTGTCTCTGTCTCTCTCCCGTCACCAACCTCGTTGTCTACGTGAGGAATTGTCTTGACCCTCTGCAGCCGTTACCGTCAATTCCTCCAAGAACTTCGCAATACCTCTGAAAATCCAAATCTTGATCATATCATTGGATAACAAATTTGAAGAGACCTTAGATAAGTCATCATAACCCTCTCTCTCTCTCTCACACACACACACACACACAAAAACACATATATTTAAATGGAATAGTTAATCAATTCCCATCTCAGAGAAATTAAAATAAATTATCATAACCCTTATATATATGGATATATATATACACACACACACACACACACACATTTATGATCGTATATATTTGAATCAATACCCATTTCGGAAGAATCAAAAGAAAAAATCATAACCATCCAATATATATATATATATATATATATATATATATATATATATATATATATTCTATGTAACCTGGACTTGGGTAAGTGTAGCAGTTGCAGTGTAACATCCCTCACCTTACCTAGGCACAATGTTGTCCGCTTTTGGCTCTCCTAGACCAGAGACTTCCCAGGAGGTCACCCATCCTTGTACTACTCCAGAGTTTTGATGGGTTTGCGGCCATCACGTCTTTAAAATGCGTTATGTCATACAAGAGTATTGAATCTATATATAGTACTTCTCCTTTCCACACCCAAGCGATGTGGGATTGTGCACCCATAGGCTCCAAGGGCGGATCCAGGGGTGGGCTCTGGTGGGCTTGAGCCCACCAAAAAAAAAAAAAAAAAAAAAATTGCTAGAGGTAATTTTAGCCTAATCCAAAAAAATAAAATTTTAGTAGTACTAGCCCATCTCAGAATAGTTTGTCCACCCCATTATGCATTTGTGGATCCGTCCTTGCCTGTAGCTCGCCCAGTGTGGTAGCCTGCCAGTGCCTTACACCCGCCCACGCAAACCTACCCACATAGGTTCCACAATCCATCTCCCTAGGAGGCCCGATGTCCCTGTCGGCACACTTCTAGCTGGTCAGGCTTTGATACCATTTGTAATAACCCACTCTACCACATGGTATGATATTGTCTGTTTTGGGTCCGAGCCCGCACAGTTTCACTCTTGGGTTTTACCCCAAATGCCTCAAACCAAATGGAGTGACACATTTACATATATTACACTTCCCCTTTTCACACCCAGGCGATGTGGGATTGTAGTTCGCCCAGTGTGGTAGCCTACTAGTGCCTCTTGCAGCCGCCCACGGCACACTGTGTGGGCTCAAGTCCAAAGTGGACAATATCATACCATGTGGTGGAGTGGGTCGTTACAATGGTATCAGAGTCTGACCGAACCGGAAGTGTGTCGATGGGGATGTCGGGCCTCCTAGGGGTGGATTCTGTCGACTTTGTGGACGGGTGTGCCGAAGGCGGGTGTAAGAGGCATTGACAGGCTACCACACTAGGCAAGTTATAGGTGCACAATCCCACATCGCCTAGGTGTGGAAAAGGAAAGTGCTATATATGTAGGTTTGTCACTCCAATTGGTTTTGAGGCCTTTTGGGGTAAAACTTAAGAGCAAAATTGTGCGGGCTCGGGCCCAAAGTGGACAATGTCATACCATGTGATGGAGTGGGTTGTTACAAAGGTTTGTGTCCAAGTGTCGGACCTCCTCAAATCCCAAATCTTAGGTTACGGGGATATGTGTTCAAAAGTTGGATACAGGTACATGGACACGTACTACACGTCATTCAGGTTGTACAAAAGAGTCACTAAGGGGTGAACAATAAGTGTGTAAATACATTATATGTTATATTATAGTGTAATGTTTAATGATATTGTTTTATAAGACGAGACTCAATTATTACTCAAATTAAATAGGATGTGGTAAAAGAAAAAGGATTTCATATGTCCTATAGATAGGAAACTCATCTCTGCTATTGAATTTGAGTTTTTCTTCTCCTTCTATCATGTCATGGGATGTATCTAGGTATCTAATTTGGGTTTACGTGTCGGACACATATTCTGTACTGATATCCATGTTGTAACGTGTCGACATGTAACAGAGTATATATGTGTGTGTATATAGATATACTTCGATGGAAAGGTAGGAAAGGAGTCGGAGAGGGTTAACCACGAGGAAGAATATGTGCATTATGTTTATGTATGTAACAACCCACTCTACCACATGATATGATATTGTTTGCTTTGGGCCTAAGCCCAAAGCAAACAATATCCATGTTGTGTGTGTATATAGATATACTTCGATGGAAAGGTAGGAAAGGAGTCGGAGAGGGTTAACCACGAGGAAGAATATGTGCATTATGTTTATGTATGTAACAATCCACTCTACCACATGGTATGATATTGTTTGCTTTGGGCCTAAGCCCACACAGTTTTGTTCTTAGGTTTTTCCCCAAGAGGCCTCGTACCATTTGGAAAAAGCACTAGCACATATAAGCACTTCACCTTACCCAAGCGATGTAGGATTGTGCAATCTTTAGCTCGCCTAATGTCGCATCCGCCCACATCACACCCACCCACAAAGGTTGCCACAATCACCCACTCCTTAAGGGGCCCAATGTCCTCGTTTGTCACACTTCCGACTAGGCTCCAGCTCTGATACTATTTGTAACTGACCACTCCACCACATGGTATGATACACAGTTTTGTTCTTGGGTTTTATCTCAAACGGCCTCGTACCATTTGGAAATAGTTCTATCACATATAAGCACTTCACCTTCACCAGCACCTTACACGGGTGATGTGAGATTGTGCAACCTGTAACTCGCCTAGTGTGATGTGGGTGGATGCGAGATTATGGCGACCTATGTGGGTGGATACGAGACACTGGGCGAGCTATGGGTTGCACAATCCTACTCTCTTGGGTAAGGTGAAGGTGAAGGTGCGTATATGTGCTAGTGCTACCTCCAAATGTTAAGAGGCCTTCTGAGGTAAAACCCAAGAACAAAACTGTGCGGGCTGAGGCCCAAAGTGGACAATATCATACCATGTGGTGGAGTGAGCTGTTACAATGTCACATTGGAAGTTGGCAAAATAGGAGAGTTTTGGGTTGGTACAAGTAGCAATGGTAGCTTATGTTGCAAGTGGAGGTGGCGGTGGGTATGATAGGATCGTGGCCAGAGTGTTGGTGGAGAAGGAAGACACAGTGGTGAGGTAAGAGGACTCGACTCCTGCATCTAAATATGAGCAAAGCAAAGCACTGATTCCGGTGATATAAAAGTTTGATGTGAATATAGATAGAAATGTTCAATTCTTTAGTTTTAAAACTGTGTGATGATAGCATATTAACATGTGAAAATTCATCTTCGAATTTTTTTTTAAAAATTTTTGTCATCTAGATGGGGAGAGAATCTATTGCATGATTCACAGAGAGAGGCATTTTTGTCACAGCAAAGGGGCATTTTGGGGTTTTCACTAGTTAATGTCAGAATTGATACGTAACGCTATGGAGGGGGTTACCATGCTACATTGCATGAAATCATAGGGGTTTATATACACATAATAGATTATAGGGGTGTTTTGGGTAAATTTTTTTATAGCATTTTCTTCCCCCTTGAACATAACAAATGAGTTGTTTTTTATATAGAAATGAAAATGGTGCTAGTGGTTACGTGCAGAGTGTTTTCTGTCAGTCTCATACTAATTAAAAGTAGTACATGCTTCTTTAAAAATAGAAGTGATAAAATTCAAATCTCTCTAATTGGGGGATCCTTTTTTATTTTTTATGTAGGTTAATTAAGTAATCCTCATCTCCCTTTCAACTACATATCAGATATAGTCTAAGACTACATCTCTCTTATTGTATTTATCGTATTTAATGTAAACTTCTCTTTTGTCTTTTACTTCACAAAACAAAACTTCACAATGCTTCTCCCTATTGGCTCTGCAATCATTGATTCTTTCTGTAACCGCCCAAAGTAAAGTTGATGCGACTGTTGATCTCTGTCTCCTCTCCCAACTGCTGCTGTTAAAGCAGAACAATATGCTCCAACAATTCTTAAAGATCTAATGTCAAACAACAAATTAATGTAAGATCTAGTGAAGTGAAAAACGAAAAGAAATTAAAAAAATAATTGAAACTTATCAATTTGATGAAATCTATTAAAATTTTTATTTAATACCTAAGCTTTTATCTTCTGTTACAACTTTAGAGAGTTTATGTAAATATTAGGTGTGTTTTCTCATAACTGGTTTGGAAATTATATCAAGATACTGTTCTACTAAACATCTGCAAATATGATCTTCCACTATCTAAGATAAGTTGCCCATGGATAATTAAATTATGTCGCAACCATTGCATACTTACAATTTTTTCCTTAAATATTCCAATTTAATCTTTGTGATCATTGAACAAATTTATTTGTAATTCAAAATAAACAATTTTTTACATATAAATAATAAAAATTGTTTTTCGTAAACAATATACTAAAACCAATATGCTGCTGCCCTTCCAATGAAACATAAAAGTAAATCAAGGAAATATCTATCTATCTGCAGAGAATGTGGAAAATTATATAGAAAAATTGTATTCTCAAGATTCCAGTAGTCTTGGGCCAATTGAATGGTAAACATACACTACAGCTGAAATCAACTGGCCAAATAATTGTACAATTATGCTTGTATCTCAAGATATGTATTGTATTGTGTGATATGACCTCCTATCTTGAGACATTTGGTAACCTACGATATGGAGATAAGATTTATCAATTTGCTTGATTGAGATGCGTATCGTATATCATAAGAGATGAACAGTGGAAATGATCTAGTTGTGTAAGCCACTATGAGGTCATGTGAATGATTTGTCATAATGAAGGATTTAATGTTGTGCAGGTTCTGCAATTGGATTCAAGTTGGACAGTCTTTTAAAGCTCATTGATACACGTGCCTCCAACAGCAAGATGACACTCATGCATTATCTTTGCAAGGTATACCTACCTTATGCTATTCTTACTATGAAATCAGATCATTCTGGTTTAACATAAGTTTGTCTATTGGGTATGCAGTTTATACAGTAAACTTAAAGATTTTTTTTCCCCTTAATTTCTTGTCTCTCTTTGGCTGAATAAACATCAAGACAAATCCATAAATATACTACATCTTAGTTTAGAGCAGTTCTGTTGGGTTTGGAAGATACTTTCATTTTACATGTCAAAAGCATGGTTGAGCCACCAATTGCTACACAAGGGCCTTGATGTTTGGAAGACTGAAACAAGAGGCAAAGATGGTTAGCATCACATGCAACAAGAAAGCATGGCTCGGTTTGCACTAGTGTCTTTTAATGTAGTTCCTTAGAATTAATCATTGTTTACCTCGTCTTTTTTTTTTTTTCAAACTAGCTCCAGGCGACTTTACTAATAGGTTAATTTTGAAGGACGTAGGCATGGCAGATAACAGGAACACAACATATGTCTAGATGCATATGCTTGTGCTTCGTGCATGTGTGCATGTTATGTGTAACGTTGAAGGTGGTATAGTCTGTATAGATGTTAACAGGTGCCCAAGAAGTGTCAACCATGTGTCTGCAATGAACGTAACCCATACAACCAGATCTAATATCCAACTCATTTAAGAGATTGAGAAAGTTAATTTATTTTTAAATTATGGACACGTCTAAGATATGCTGGACGCGTGTACACGGGTGATCAAGAAGAGTCAGATACTACTCCTTAGAAGTGTCCGTCCTTATATTCCTTTATCATGATGAGGGAGACATTCAATTTTTGTGGCATTCTAGTGCGGGTTGCTTAAGATAACTTAAAACCTTAATATTCTAGTGAGTCTATTGTGTTTGATTTTCATGTTTAATGGAGAGGAAACGACTTGGCCATGAATGCTGGCCAAGTTAATGTGTTCTTGGCATATAATGCATAGATATTTTCAGGTGCACAATATGTGCTCTGGCATGCCCATTACTGAACTTACAGTTGTGTATGGAGATTTTCTACTTTTACATATTTATCTCAGTGCCTAATATTTTGCCCCCTCCTTCCATTTGGGATTTATTGAATATATACTGTACCGGCCGGATGATTTAGTGTCTCATTAGTGTGTGTGTGATTTTTTTATTTTTATTTATTTATTATTTTTATATGTTTTTGTTTTTGTTTTTGTGCCTCAGGTCCTTGCCTCTAAGTCACCAGCTCTTTTAGACTTCCATGCAGATCTTGTTAGCCTGGAAGCTGCATCAAAGGTTCACATTTAATCTGTTTCTCATCAATCAACATTCTTTCTGTTTCTCAATTTTGATCTTAAGATTTTTGGTTTGAAAATGATCGATTTTTTTTCTAACTGGGTTCATACTTCCTTACAGATACAATTGAAGTCTTTAGCAGAAGAAATGCAAGCTATTATCAAGCAATTGGAAAAGGTAAATCAGGAGATGGCTGCATCAGAAAATGACGGCCCTGTATCTGAAATTTTTCGTAAGGTATTTGGCCAAACTTTTCATTCAACGACACTAATTTATATATATCATTATTCGATGCAATATCTTAATTGTCACTGGGGAAAAATATTTCTAATTTCCTTTTTTTTCAAAAAACTTTTTATAAAACAACTTTTATTTTCTTGGCTGTCATGAAACAAGAAGTCGACCCTTCATAATGTAGAAGAATAACAGGAAGTGTATAATACCCACCAGAGTCTTGATATAATCATGTGACCACCAGTTTTAGAAGTTAAATTAATACGTTCTTTTTATATTGATCATTTTTAAATATTTCCATTTTCTTTCATCTAAAAAAAAAAATTACTTGTGATTATTTTAGTGCTCTCATCTTTTATTTCTTTTTCATTTAGACTTTAAAGGAATTCATTAATGTTGCTGAGACAGAGGTGGCCTCCGTAACAAATTTGTACTCTGTGGTGGTAATTTTTTTATATTGACCCCTCTCTGATACATTATTAATTAGCATCTCTCTCTCTCTCTCTCCTTAATGCCTTTTGGCTCTTTTTTTTTTTTTTTTGGTGGACAGGGTAGAAATGCAGATGCACTAGCCCTATATTTTGGTGAAGATCCTGCCCGTTGCCCATTTGAACAAGGTAAAATATGGATAACGCAATTAGGCCATCATCTGTATACCAATTTACAAAATTAAAGTTGTTCCAGTTTTTCTCAAATGAGTGATTCTTTGCTAGGAATGGCAGAGCGAGTTCTATGTAGGCCACCCATTTAAGAAACCCAGACCCATTTATACTGTAACTTCATTCCAAGTGTTACGAAAAACGCAGTGAACCCAAGCAATAATCACGAAACACGACAGAAAAGTAAACACACCACAAACAAAGAACACAAAGATTTATACGTGGTTCGGCAAAGCCTACGTCCATGGTGGAGATCCGGCAAAAGTTTTCACTATGTGTAAAATCTGAGATTACAAGTTTCAGCCTCTCACTCTCTTTCTGTACGATTTTCAGTTACTCTTAATGATGTACTCCAAACCTTAAGCGCCCTTATCTATCCAGCTACAAGGGAGTACTAATTAGGGTCCATGACCCACAAGAAAAAATGGGTCAAAAATTAGTCGATGCGTCATAAACGGGTTGCATGGCACCAAATTTGGGCCACAACATCACACCAACTAATCCCAAACCCGTGTTGGGGGTAGGAATGGCTGGATATCAGGTTATACTTTAATGTGAGCCATTGATGCTAACTTTATGGACATGACGAATTTAGGAATGAATGAGGAGCCTTTTTATAGACTGATTAAGCCCACCACTTCTATAGGAGAATGATGTGGGATCTATTTGGCAAAGGCTTCTGCTGTTGTATTCTATTGTGAGAAAAATTATTGATCTGGGTTTTCACATTTCTCATGAGAGGAAATGAGAGAACAATGATCCTGACTCTGTACTAGTGCTGCTTACCAAATTTTTCTTTGATTTATGAGCAGCCCAACATGTGAAAATAGTGCTTTCACAAATGATCGATTATCAAATTTATGGGAAAACGTCCACTGATGGTAAAGAAAGTACTCTTTTGTAGTTGTATCAAAATCCATGGACTTGTTGAAGTAGGTAAAACCTTGAAGACATCGTCCCCTGTTTTCATAAGTGACATGTACTATTAATAGTATATATATATTAGCTACAGAAACATCTTGTCTGTAGCTAAGTTATATGTTTTCTTGCATGAACTAGCAACATTGAAATTTTGCTTGTAAGAACCATGTAACATTCAGTACATTGACGGAAGATAGTTTATCTTACTAGCTGCTGACAACGGGCTGGCAAATGGTCCATTCCTAGTTTGTTTGTGTAGGATTTGTCTTTATTCCATTGTAGTTTTCTGGTAGTTTTTTTGGCTATTGTATTGAAATAACATGAAAGATAGAGAATATATGTAAAAGTAAAACAAGGCTATTTTATTAATTTGGTGATGCAGAGAAATATGATTATACTTCCTTAAATAGACAAAGAGGAAAGCTAATTGTTAAGATATAGTAATTCAAGAACTATTATCTTATCCTACTGATTTATTTTAATTTCGAAAGCGGGTGCGAGAGTGAGAGCGAGAGCGCAAAAGTGGCAAAACCTAATATTTGGTTAGAGCGGGAGCGCCTCCTGAGTGCTTGTATACTTGTACTATTGTGTGTATAAAACATTTTCAATAGCTGTACATATGTTAAAGTCCATTATATATTTTGTAGAATAGTAGTTTTATAAGCACTAGAAAATGTGTTTCAACTTATTTCTTCTATGGGAGAGGATACATTTTATTAGTAATAATTTAAATACAAAGATTAGTATTTTAATTTTTTTTTTTTTTTTATACAAAATGGGACTTGAGAAATCGATATATTTATTCTAGATTCTTAAGGATACATGAAATGATTACTTAAAGAATTATAAAATAATAAACTTTTAGTCTTTTAGGTACATTTTGATAATTGTCATCCATAATAAATGTCACATGTAGTTGTCCATAATACAATAAATGAGAAATTGTTGTGAATTCGAGGATTGGCAAATTGAATTCGTGGATTGACAAAATTAAATTCGTGAATTATGGAAGAATTCGCTCTTAGAGCACTAATTCGCGCGCGGAGCATGAGAGCGACCCCCCTTTAAAAGGATTGTGTGACTAAGGTTGATATGGTTCTCCACCTGCAGATACTGGCGTAGCGTGATGTCAGCATGACGTCAACATGATGTTAGTGTTAGGCAAATGAATACGAATGAGTTCTAAGCTTCGATTTGGCTCTGATACCAAGTTGAAGTTTGTGCGATTGTGTTCTAGGGTTTGTGAGTGAAGAGGAAGAGAAGAAGAAAATATAATTACTGTGGAGTAGAAAAAAACTTAATCAGATTCTACACCACTCTAAAAGTATATATAAATAGCAAGAAGACAAAAATGCTCTTTATACAATAAGGCCCAATAATTCGACTCTCTAACGACCCAATAACCCGTCTCTCTAACAATGTCTAACTTCAACTTTACGGATGTGTAAAAACTGTAGAAAAGAAAATTTTGATTTATTTTTTGATTTTTTAGGTCATCCCAGCATTATTTAATTGTTCTCGTAAGTACTTAAAATTTAGCTAATTTGTCTTACTTTTCATCTTGTTTTGTATTCTTCATACCTTGAGAAAATTAAGTTTTTGTGATCTATAATATATATATATATATATAGTTATTGCCATGCTATTACTGACTTCTTTTTTCATATCCAATGCTTTATGATTTATTGCAGTTACTGTGACCCTATTGAACTTTGTGAGATTGTTCCGGAAAGCACATGAAGAGAACTGCAAACAGGCTGAATTGGAGAAGAAGAAAGCTCAGAAGGAGATTGAAATGGAGAAGGCAAAGGGTAATAATCTAACAAAGAAGAGTGCGAGATAGCTAAAATTCCCTTTGCTTTATCTACTGCATGGGTTCGGTTCTTCCATATCAGAGGTCTACCTCAGTGTTGGCTACAATATGTTGTACAAGGACACTACTTCGACAATGAAGCCAGAAGCGCCGCTTAATCCAGCATTGTTGCAATGGTATGCTTTTAAAAGGGATTCAAAGATGAAACGAAAAGAGGCTACTTCTCATGGCTTGCAGACATTAAACTATCTTTGAACTGCTCAGTTGCGTGTGCAAGCTCAATGCCATCGAATCAGTCGGATGATTGCAGCCAACTGATCTCTCACATGACATATTTGGACCGATTTTCACATTGGGCTTTTATTATTTCTATCTGAGTAATGGATTTTTCTCCATATGATCCATGGAAGGAACGGATTGGTCCTTTTCTCATCTCATTTATAGAAGAAAGTTTTGCTAACCTCAGGGCAGTTCTTCAATATTGGAGGTTCAGTTTCTGCCTTTCACCATTCATTTGGGATTTCAGCACCAGAGTCAATGCCCTGGGGACTGTAAAAAAGGCACAAGCTCGGAATGTTCGATGAATTGTGTACAAAGCTCTAACCCTGTACTAATATTGAAATTTGATTCTTTTGTTTGTAACATAGAAGATGGTTCCTGTTTTTTTCTCTCCTTTTTTTATGAGATTTTGACAGGAACCTGTCATTCAATATGTTGTATAGAAAATCGGAACAAAAAGAGGGTAGGAGACAGGCTATCTTAGCGCAATTGTAATATAAACCAAAAATATAGGCTAGGCTTTGGGTGTAGAAACTGATTTGCTTCTTTCATTTGATTCTTCTTTAGTAAATTCTTTCAAGTTCATTTAATGGCAAAGGTTCTCCGTTTCTCTTGTACTCCTGTGTTTGCATATAATCTGTTTTGCGTACTCCTGGCTTCATGTTTTCCAGAACAAGTTGCTTTATCCTTCTTCTCCGACAATAAGCGTGCTAGAATAAAATTTTGCATTTCCTGTAATTCTCTGGGTATACTATGGTTATGGTTTTATTTAAAGTTGATATGACCACTTTGTATATGAGCCTTTTGGCTTTTGCCGAAGTTGACGACGACATTGGTGTAATCATACAAACACTTTGTATATACATTTGTTGCCATTATTTCATAGCAGATCATCAGACACGAGTTTGACATTGAGAAAGTTGAAATTATGTGCAATGCAATGATTTAATGTACTGTATGTTACAAAATGAAATCATTCACAGGCTTGTCCCTCCAAAATGGTTGCTGGGTTGAGCAGCACCAACTAGTAAAAACTCTTCCAACACTTAATCCAGTCTGATCTTTGAGCCTTATGCCATGAGAAATTGTATTTGTAAAACATCCAAACAGGTTGGTATCGGCATATGATTGTTCGTTCGATAGAGTTGCATTACGTTGTCTCAATGTCGATGAAATTGACATTGCCTTTAAGAGAATGTTACTGTCTACAGTTCTTTTCTAGATTCCCACCTGTATGTGTTGATCAACTCTGTAGAAAGCAAGTAAAGCTGCAGAACTGCATTTTCTTCTACAGACCGTGCACTTTGCCCCCATTGATGGTTTTTTCCTTTTGCAGTTTGTTGCAGGAAGAAGATGGTGGGATGATTTTTGTGTATCTGAATCATGGTTTTGCTCCGTTGTAATCGGGTCCTTGGATGTGACTTCATCACCGAGTTTGCTCAAAAGCATAACTGCCTTGGCCTCAATTTTTGTGAGAACTGAAAAAAACTTGTTATCAGACTTCGATTTGTTTGAGTTCGTTCACTTTTGTTGAACTGTGATGACATGAACATATGGTTTTGGCATTCTTGTCACTCATTTTGGCATTTCATTACAAACCTAACTTCATAAATAGCCTTTACAAGTTCTTTTACAATGTATACAATCTGCCAATATACGTACAATGAAAGAATAGGGAATACAAAAAATAACCAAATGAAGAATGAAACACAGAAATTGGAGTAAACTCACCTGCACTATCCATTTTCTTTAAACTGTTCATAGATACTCCACATTTCAATACTTGCACTTGGAGTTGAATGTATTAATTTATTGTAATTCTAAATGAAACTTTTTATTTGTATCAGCCACTATGTACCCTTTCTCCTGCAATGATCAACAGAAAGAAGTCTTGAACTTTACCAAATTGTTGGCTTCTTGTTTTTGAATTTCAATTTGGTAATAGTATTTACTCTCCTCATCTATCTGACAAGTGGTTTTACAGCTTCTTAAGAACACACAACTCACAATGGTGTCAAGGACAATGACAATGGAGTTCAAGTAAGCTATGAAAATCCCTTCCAAAGCCATCGAAGAAGTGGGGTTCTTAGCATGACGATAAGCTCCCACAACACGGTATTGGAACAGGGCTTCAACTGCAGCCATGGCCATATTGACAGACACAGAAAGCGACAGCGTGGTTCCAGTTCTTCCCCTGATCAGTGCACAGGCCTTGAGAATGGCAACACGCCCTCCACATCTCTCCATCCCGGACGAAACCAGTGCTAGGTTGCAGACTATGATGGCATTGGCAATAATCACCGAGTAGAGAATGGCCCCGGTGGCTGACACGAAGAGAATGGAGTTGGGAGAAGAGAAGCCAAGACATTCAAGACAATTGAAGGCAAAGACTGTGAGAGAGAAACAAGCTGCATTTGCGGCGAGAATGAGAATTGAGTTACAAATTTGAGTGATAATGATTGGTTTGTAGAGTGATAGAAAAGAAGAGAATGAAGGTGGAGGAGATGGTTTGTGGTGATTGAGAGCTTGAATTACGGATGCCTTCGCGACGATGAGGGAGGAGAGGGTGAAGGGAAGTGCAAGAATGGAAGAAGCAGTGGTCTGAGAGAGCTTGACAGTGAGAATGGTGAAGAGTTGTGATGAGGGAGGAAAACCTGCAGCATGAAAGAGAGAGCTGAGGAGACTGTGAAGTAGTGAGAGGAGAGAAGAGGAGGGAATGAGAGCTTGTGAGAGGAGAATTGAGGCTGAGAAGGGAAAGGCAAGGAGAGCAGCAGTTGTGGTGAAGTATTGGTAGTTTTGAAGGAAGATGTAGATTGCTCTCCTGATGATCTTTCCTGTTCTCTCCATTGGGATTGATGGGTACTCTTCCATTGTGTGTGTGTGTGTGTGTGTCTGTTTGGAGATGGAAATGGAAAGGGAAATGAATTGGGTATCTCGACAATTGGTTGTGTGTGTGTGTGTGTGTGTGTGTGTGTGAGTGGTAGTTTAGAGGAGATGGTCTTCTCAAGAATGGGATATATATGAAATAGGTAGTATCGGAGGCATTGTTGTTTCCTTCCTAATTCATAATTCCTTTGATTGGTTAGATTAGAGGGAAGTTGGAGTTAGGATGAATAGATTGGCCAACCAACTAAAAACTAACAAAACGTGCAAATGTGGAGTTGCTTGAGCATTGTTTTTGCCTATGACTTTGTTTGGACTTATTGGGTATGTTTTGGCTTTGTCATCTCCTATCCTTTTGTTAGTTGGCTAATTTAAGAGCTACTTTTTTTATATGGTGACATACAATGATATTATATATATGTATAACTAGCCTCCTAATGTAGTTATGAGTTTGGCAACCATCTATTTGATGGCAAATTCAAACCACATTACCTTTAAAAAAAAAAAAAAAAAAAAAAAAAAAAAAAAAAAAAAAAAAAATTTCAAACCACATCTTCTATGTCATGAAGAATGTAACATTTGAGACCTTTAACTATGTGACTTGGCTTTTGGCTATTTAAAGCTCTTGTTAAGGGGTTCCAATCAGAGTGATAAATGAACCTTTTATTTTGAATGCCTCATTAAAGCATGGTTTTTCTTGAATTGGAAGATCTTTGAAAATTTGGACATTTAGGTAACTTTGTAGGAATTATACATACATAAAAGTCATATCAGAAGCTGTTGGCAACTTTGGTATTAAACTTTCGAAATGGTTGTTTGACAAAAATGATAATCTTGGACCAAAATTAATTTAGGGATTGGGGAAAAAAAAGAAGATGTTGGAAAATTGAAATAAATTTATTTATTTATTTATTTTCAGGTCTAAACAAGAGTACAATTGGCTAGAACATTCAACGAAACATCTTGCGGGAGGTTCTGTTAGTAACATACGCTTCCAAGACTGTGGAATAAATGAGAGAGACCACTAAGTATCCAGAGTTTCGGCTAAGAATTTTATACCTTGAGTTGAGCTCTCAACCCGTCCAAATTATCTTGAGTTGCATTCTGAATCGTCATCGCACACGAAAGCGCGTTATATTATCATTCTTGCTCATGTCAAATAAAAGAATGATCCTTGATTTGAAAGAAATATAATGATAATTCCAACAAATTCACAAAATGGGGGAAAAAACAATGAACCAAAGCAATTTCATGTAGATTGTTTCTTTCTCTAATAAGGAAAAAAACCCATTGAAGTGTGAAAAAGAAGTTCAACAAGGCCCATCATTTTATTCCCTAATTTTTCTTCACATCTCAACCATGTGATTGTAGGCCCATGTTGATGTAAATGTATCATGTGCCCCTACATAAGTGAAGCCCAACTGAATCCTAGGCCCAAGGAGGTAAAGAGAATAATGACTTATTATGGGGTTGGTGTGCTGAATTAGTTCTCTCTGATGTACCAAGAAAAAGACCTCCTAACCGACGTGCTTTTAAGTGACATACTAATTATAATATTAATTGCAATTCACATATGGATATAGTATTATAGACATAGACAATGAATGGAAAAGATGTCTAGCTTAGTGAGAGGATCATAGCTTAATGTTGTTATTATAATTATTTCATACTAGAAGCTTCGGTCTTTCGGATATCAAGTTTTCTTGAAGGCAAAGTCAACGTGTGATGAGTTTTTTAAATATATTTATATATATATTTTAGTAATAATAATAATAATACTTTTTTTCGTCCCAATTTAAACGTGTGATGAGTTTTTAAAAATATATCTATATATATATTTTAATAATAATAATAATATTCTCTCTGTCTTAATTTAAGTGTTATTTTTGGAGAGTAGTAGTAATTTTTAAGGGAACATATGGAACATGCATTCTCTCCGAAAAAGTTACTAACTTGCACTTTTAAGTTTTAAATATTCAAGTATGAAATTTTAAACTCTGAAGACATATATAAAAAGATGTGAAATATATTATTTTAAAAAAAATAAAAAGTGAATAATTATTTTGGGATTGACCCAAAAAAAAAAATAAATAAATAAAAATGGTTTGAATAGGTTAAGGTGCTAGAGCACTTCTAAATATATAATCAAACAAGAACCTCCATTCTCTAATAAGAAAGCATGTTTTCCAAAAAAATAAATAAATTAATAATAGTATGTTGATGGACTAGACTTTGATATGAACTTCACCCAAATTTCATCCAACAAATGAAATATGAATTAAATTTAATGCAATAATTGCTAAACGATTTGTCAACAATATAATATAAGTTTTACCCAAAAAAAAAAAAAAATACTTCCTCTGTTTCAATATTTTTGACGTTTTTAAAAAATTCAACGAAATTTTAATAGTTTTTTATTTTTATTTTTTTATTATACTAATAAGAGTGAATTTTCAATTTGTCTCAGATAAGAGAGTAGATCTCAATTTGATATGCATAATATAGATGAAGATGCAATGCTTAGAAAAGTTTTTCTTACACTCCAAACTGTGTGCCTCTTCTTTCTCTCTCTACTCCTTCCCTTTATAGTAGGTTATATATTGCCCTAAATTCCTCTCTTGGTTTCCAAGATGGAGGTTGATGGGCCGGAGTTTTCTTTTTTGGGTCGATCCATGCGGTGGTCCAAATGACTCAGGAATAGGTCCTTATAGTCTATTACGTGCCAAAAAAAGATTAGCTAAGCTTTAGAGACCTCCAATTGTGCCAAGGATCTCACCTGAGAATCTATTCACCAACAAATCTATTTCTATTGTGGCCTTTAAACTTCCAATCTCTGAGGGAAGGTAGCCACTTAAAGAATTTGACGACAAGTTCAAATACATATTTTTTTCAAGATTGGCTAACCTAATACTTGGCGGAAAGTTGCTGAAAAGTTGATTGCTCGCAAATGAAACCATTCGTAGTGTCGACATGTTGAAAAATGTTTCCAGAATGGGACCTTGTAACTTGTAAACTATTCATACCCAAGGCTAAAATCTCCAGATTGCGAAGCTTACCAATCTCTTGTGGTATTACCCTGCAAAAATGTGTAATAAATACAAACTATTGGCATCTCCATAATGCAATGATTCACTTCATCTTTCTTTGTGTTATGAGACATTCCATTATTATTACATGGTATAATTTGTGAACATGTTCTAATAAGCTCCCATCCATTGAATGGGAAAAAAAAACTAGTGGGATTTGTCCGTTGTCGAACTGTCTATCATTACTCAAGAAGATGGATAATGATTTGGATTCTAAAAGTCGAACAACTCCAACTGATTTATGTGAGTGGGAGTTGATATCATTAATTTTGTTGCAACCCATTCTTACATAAAATTAATCGGATTTGTCCGACTGCCAGACTGCCTATCATTACTCAAGAAGATGGATAATGAATTAGAGTCTAAAAGTCGGACAACTCCGACTGATTTATGTGAGTGGGAGCTGATATCATTAAATATTGTTGCAGCCCATTCTTACATAAAATTAATAGGATTTGTCCGACTATTGGACTGTCTATCATTAGTCAAGAAGATGGATAATGATTTAGAGTCTAAAAGTCGGACAACTCCGATTGATTTATGTGACTGAGAGCTGATCGATGTCATTAATATTGCTAATGTCATGATGACATCCGTCTATATTCATATAAAATTAGCCGGACATGTAAGTAAAGGTTGATAGTCATTAATATTACTAATGTCACGATGACATCAGTCAGTATTCACTCCCTATCATTACTCAAAGAAGATGAGTATGCTTGTTATTCTGACAAAGAGTCCAAGCTAGTTTGGAAAATCAAATTGATATATAAAGTAAATAATTAGGAGGATACCTGTGAAACTATTCTCGTTTAGATATACTTCGATCAATGAACTAGAGTTTTCAATTTCTCTTGGTAGGGTACTAGTTAAGCCAACTGTCTCAATTGCAAGTAATTCCAAATTATGAAGATTTCCCGGTTGTTGCGGAATTTTACATACAAGGTACAAATTAAATTACAAACAAACCTCCTCCCACAGATGCATTGCAGAGTATCCAAATTTCATTAAATTTATAATATGGAGGCTGTTAAGTAGTTTTAATTTTAATTTTAATTATTATTATTTATTTATGGGTAAAAAATTAAAATGAGGTTGTTAAGCAGTTTTTTTTTGGAAGTTAATGAGGTTGCTGTGTCTATGCGCCGTAAACAAATAGTTTGTTTAACAATGTTCTAACACGATAAGAGTTTATTCCAATGAAATAGTCTAATGAGAAAGATTCTCACCTCACACTTAAATCAGATAGTAAATTATATATATACGTTTTTAGTAAAAATAAAATTTGCTTGCAAATAATTAATTTTAAAAGGCTTAAAAAATTTTGTCTTCGTAATTGATATACAACATTAATAGTGCTCAGAATCACTGTATTAGATAAATTTTTTGCGTATATCATTTATACAAGCACACATAGATATAGTAACTGGTAAGCTAGGGAGAACAAAAGCATAACCTATCATAATTTTGAAGTTGTTTCCGCCAAGATATAACTCTTTTAGGATGGTTAAATTCCTAATCTCTATTGGTATTGCTCCACTAAAATTGTTATATGACAATGACAAGATTTGAAGTTCCGAGTATTCATATAAAGTGAAAGGAATTCGACCATTGAACTGCTTAAATGCTAGAGCAAGCCAATAGAATTTTGGAAGACGGTAGCACATATCTGCCGGAAGATTACCGGACAGACTATAGTGAGGTCAATAATTCCCAGCGAGGAGATGTTGAAAATGGAAGCAGGTATGGAGCCTGAGAGTCGGTTCGACACCACATCCAAAAACCCTAGATTAGCAAGCTTGCCTATTTCTTCAGGAAGATTTCCTGTAAAGTCGTTGAAAGGGAGAATGATGTCTTTTAGTCTATGCAAATGGCCTATCTTTTTAGGGATATCGCCATAAAAACTATTGTTTCGAATGTCGAGGGATGGTAAGAATGAGAGGTTTCCAATGTATGGAGGGATGGTGCCTCTTAGGCCTATGTAAGAAAGGTTTAAGATTGCAACTCTATGGTGGCGGCGAGTGCTGCAATGGACGTCAATCCAGTTGCAAGGGGAAGTCGAGGCAGTCCAGTTTTTAGATAGAAAGTTGTAACTTATGAGGGTCGCTGTTGATGTGGGATTTCAGTGTAAAAAGCGCAGATTGATCAGTGGCGATGTTGGTTTCAGCTAAGCAAGCCATGAGAGAGTAGACGTGCACCAACAATGTAAATGTAACATAAACAAGATAGCAATTTTTCTCCATCACGGAAAGGTAAGACAGGTCGAGGTGAACCTGTTGAATATCAAAAATAGAGAAACAAAGAGAGAGACAGATATATGAAATGTATATCTTCAGTATGTCTGGAGCATGTACAAAGGGTCCAATAAATAGGCTATTGGCAACGACTATACAAAGCTATAATCACGGCAAGAATTACGGCAAAAGTCAGTATACAATGGCAAAAGTCAGTATACAACGGTTATAGAAGATACACAGAATCTCTATAATCAACATCCCCCCTCAAACTCAAGGTGGTAAAGCAAAAACCAAGTTGAGTTTGGAAACTGATTCCCGAAATCTGCCTGACGGATGAGCTTTGGTAAAGATGTCAGCGGTCTAATCAGCAGACGTTACAGAATGAAGGCGTACGGTTCTCTGAGCAACTTGTTGACGCACAACATGATAATCAATTTCAATATGTTTGGTGCATTCGTGGAAGATATTATTATGAGCAATGTAAATAGCACTCTGATTATCACAATAGAGAATATTGCCATTGGAATGAGAAATACCCATATCTGTTAGGAGTTATCGAAGCCAAATAAGTTCTTGTGTAAAATCAGCAAGGGCGCGATATTCAGCTTCTGTACTAGACCTAGAAACGACGGTTTGCTTTTTGCTGCGCTAAGAAATGAGAGAGTTACCAAGAAAGAAGCAGAAGCCAGTAGTAGAACGTCGGTCAATTAGATCACCTGCCTAATCAGCATCAGAGTAAGTACGCAGCTCAAGTGAAGAATGAGTAGAAAAGTGAAGGCTATGAAACATAGTCCCTTTAATGTATCGAAGAATACGTAGTACAGTAGTATAATGAGTAGATCAAGGTGCAGAGATAAACTGACTGACAAGATGCACAACATAGGCGATGTCAGGTCGAGTAACAATGAGATATACCAGACTGTGATACAATGTGGCATCACTGAGGAGTGTACCATCTAGAGGAGTGAGCTTAACATTGGTCTCAAGTGGAGTAGGAGCTATCTTGCAATCAGTGATACCAGCACAAGCAAGAATGTCAAAAGAATACTTTACTTGGGAGAGATAATAGCCATCCGAATCAAAGAGAATCTCCAAGCCTAGGAAATAGTGGAGGCGCCCAAGATCCTTCATATAAAAGTGATGACTGAGAAATATTTTGAGTGTATAGATACTCGCAAGATCATTGCTGGTGATTATCATGTCGTCAACATAAAATAAGAGAAAATTAATACCAGAGTTAGTCTTGCTGATAAAAAGGCTAGAATCAAATGAGCTTGAAGTAAATCCAAAGTCTCTAATTGTAAAACTAAATTTTGCAAACCAAGCTCTTGGAGCTTGTTTAAGACCATACAGTGCTCGACGGAGTTTACAGACTTGATGTGGAGAATGGTAAAATCTTAGAGGAGGTCTCATATATACTTCTTCAGTGAGATCACCACTGAGAAAGTCATTTTTACATCCATTTGAAATAAGTCCCACTTACGAGCTGTTGTAATAGCCAATAGGCTATGAACAAAAGTAAGTCGAGCAACAGGGGCAAATGTTTCCTCATAGTCAATGCTATATCCTTGGGTGAAGCCTTTTGTAACCAGACAAGCTTTATATTGTTCCACTTAACCATCAGAATGAGTTTTGATTTTGTAAACCCATTTACAACCAACAACAGTTTTGTCAGAGGGAAGAGCAACCATGTCCCAGGTATGAGCTTGTGTGAGAGCCTGCAATTCTTCTGCCATAGCTTACTGCTAAAGGGGGTTAGAACTAGCCTCACGGTAGGATTGAGGCTTATGATGAGACATGTGTGATACCCCTAGATTATAGATCCACGGGTGATCAAGTCCGAGCACACATCCGAGGGATACCAGACAATTAAGTATTTAAACAAGCATAAGTACAAAAAGAATAAAGAACAAATAATTAATAAGCTGAAAAAGAACTGAATAATAATCCATGAAATCTTAATTAAATAAACCAAGAATTCCAAAACCTCCAATACTAAAACAACTCGGGAATCCATCTAGTGGACACCTAATAAAATCCCAACTGAAAGTAAAAACTGAAATAAAATCTAAAGCTAAAACATAAAGGGAAATCCTACGTAATCGGAGGAGTGAGTGACTGTCTCTGCTCAGCACAATTAAGTTCTAAGATTAGAACTGTCGAACACCTGAAAAATAAGAGTGAGTCAGGCCCACGAGCAAGTTCTACTCTACTACAATCCAAACATAGACCCGATACGTAGATACATTCTATACAACTCAACAATAGCTATTTAGTCCATATATATATATATATATATCCACACTAAGGGACTCTCACTGGGCTACAAGGCGGTCTCAACCTGACTAGAAGACAACATGCAAAACGCATCTGAAGTGGGCATGTGTACCTAAACCTAACAGGGTACACCTCCACCTATCATAGCCAATTATGCATCCCACTGCATATACGCTCCCTAACCATCGATTCTGAGATTTAAGCTTATATCGTGGTACCATAATCATATATATATATAAAACCATCCAAACCAAGGTATGTCATTCAATTGTTCATTGATCTGACACGAAATATAAGTATGATTTAATATTATAATTAATCCATTCCCTTATTCCAGAATATGTATGAATTAGCGTTTTAATCTAATTCGTATCTAATATGCCACCGTCCCATACCGGTGCATATAATCCACAAATCCAATTATTAATGAGATAAATAATAAATTAAAACATCAATTAATCCAGAATAAGCATAATAAAATCTAATATGTGTATGACCATATTATGCATCCAATACAAGATTTAAAAATCATGTCACAGTCACTTATATTGCTAAAATAATAATAAGCAATTAAATTCTCTATATCCATTAACAACATGCAAACTTGTTTAAAATTTCATATTGTTCTAATCATTAGCATAAAGATATAAATTATACATTATGGGATTTCAATATGTTATGAAAATTATTTAGAATCCTCATCCTTGTCCCAAAACAGTTCTGGAACCCCAAAATCATCCAAACAGTGCTTAAAACACATCTAATAAGTACCATGGCAAGAGAGCCTGCTCTAAAAAATTGAGAGCAGGCTCAACCACATATAGAGCCGGCTCTACATATGAAGGAGCCGGCTCCCCATCACATGGAGCCGACTCTTTGCTTGAGGGAGCCGGCCGGTTCCTACTTCCATAGAGCCAGGTCTCTTCCTCTCTGAGAGCCCTAAAACTGTTTTACCCCTTCTGCCTCGTCTCCGGCCAGTTCTAACTCTTCTGTTTTTCATTAATACTGATCCTAAGAGTCTGAACTATGTCCCGTATCATCCCAATCATTTCTAGAAATCAGTTTGCATTATTAACAACAATAAAATAATTAATCATGCTATATGCTTCATGATCCATCAACTATAATTTAAATTCACAAAACTTGTTTTAGATCAGAATAAACATGAATAAAAGATTAATTTAAAATCCAACTAATTCCTAGAGACTACCTAGGCATGCAGAAAACACAAGTCTAAGGGAAGGAGTAAGAGTAAGAACTTGCCTTTAAGATTTTGGATAAAAATCTTAACGTCATCTTCCTAGATTTTTCGGCAAATCCTTGACTGTTTAAACTTCTTCGCTACTCCTGATTCAACCCACAAGCAACCTTCTTCCTACTTTCTTGATCCAATCTTCAATCTATGGCTGAAACCCTAATTCTTCCTTTCTTAGTTTCTCTCGAACCTCTCTGTTCGTGAATAGAGTCTAAACCCTAAGCAGACATATAATGCTATATTTAAGGACTTCTACTAAAAACCTAATTCTAATTACCTCAGGAAAAGGAAAAGAAAAATAAAAGAAAATATAATATATATATATATATATATATATATATATATGTCTGCTATTCCCTAACGTGATTACCTAAATATATATAAAACCCTAAAATTAAATTATACATATATAATGAAAAATGACACTAATTTAATCATTAATAATAATTAATAATTAAATGAACCCTATATACATATATACCCATATATATATGTATAACCATCCATGGGTATTAACTGCACTTATATCCACAAATCCAAGTAAACCATGTAACCCCAAACGGTTGGTCTATTACCACTACCCAGCCTAACTCCTTAAAATTAAAATAAACATTTAATTTAAACAATTAATTACAACTAAACACTTAGCACATAAACAGATAGTATACCACATTTAAACACATTAATTACTTAATCTATTTACACATAAACATATAATAAAATGAAAGCAAATAATTCAATTAAATAATTAAACAATTAAACAAATAGCCAAATAGTCAAATAATGAATTTTAAAATGCAATAAAACCATAAAATAAATACTGAGACTATCCTTTTTAAATTAGGGGTATTACAACATGATAGTAGAAAAACACTGAAAATTACGTAAATGACTAAGAGGTTTTATTACCCGATGAGGAGGTTTAATAGTAGTGATCATTTTTGATAAAGAAGATTCAGTAGCAGGATCATCAAATGAAGCAAATTCATTAGGTAAGGCCATTTGAGGGAGCTCAGATGGAAAGTTGTTTATGGAGTAGATGAGATAGTGTTTAGAAGCTCATATAAGGATATTGTATTTATGTCGTCTGGAAAGAGTTCAACTAAAGAATCAGAAAAAAAATAAAGGAGTAGAAGATGGAGATAGATGGAATTTGGAGAGAGAAGAGAACATTTTGTGTTCCCAAAAGATGACATGACGAGAGATACGAAGACGTTTGGAAATGGGATCCCAACATCTATATCTTTTGTGTTTAATTCCATAACCTAGAAAACAATATAGACGAGTACCTTTATGAGGCTAAAGTAAGACAAAACAAGTGCATCCAAAAACTTTGATAATATTATAAGCATGAAGGATCCCATATAAGCGTTCATAAGGAGATTGATTGCCAATAATAGGCATGGGAACACGGTTGATGGTGTATACAGCAGTGAGAGCTGCTTCCCACCAAAAACACTCAGGATATGAACTGGATATTAAAAGAGAGCGAACAATGTCTAAGATATGCCTATATTTACGTTCAGCCTGACTATTTTGTTGGGATGTGCCAGGACAAGAAGAGTGAAAGATCGTGCCATGTTGGCGAAGAAATTTTAGAAATTTTGTTTCTTTGTACTCCATAGCATTATTAACATGGAAGATCTTGATGGATCGGGAAAACTGGGTTTTGACCATATTTGCAAAATCATAGTAAAGTTGGGGTAGTTCAGAGCGATTTTTCATGAGATATACCCAGGTAAATCGTGAGTAATCATCAATGAAAATAACAAAGTATTTGAATCCCCCCATTATAGTGTGAGAAGAAGGTCCCCATTCATCTGAGTGAACTAGGTCAAAAGGAGCAGAGGTAATAGTTGTGCTTTTATTAAAAGGTAAAGTAGGTTGTTTTGCAAGTTGACAAGGTAAACAAGTTACATCATCATTTTGAACTGAACCTAATTGACCGATTGACACTAAGAAGCGTAAACGCCCAATAGACACATGTCCTAATCGGGAATGCCAAAGGCTAAGAGAGGGAGTAGAGGTTGCTGAAGCAACAGTGGAAACTATAGAGAGCTGATGAGAAGGAATGCGGAGATGGATGAACTCAAAGAGACGTCCCACTTTGCGGCCTATCCCGAAGATCTGTCCCATCTGTGGATCCTATACATGACAACTGAAAGAAGAAAAAATGATATTAAGTCCAAGTTCACATATCTGACCAACAAAGATAAGATTGTTGATTATAGAGATTCTGTGTATCTTCTACAGCTGACTTTTGCCGTAACTCTTGTCGTGATTATAGCTTTGTATAGTCATTGTCAATAGCCTATTTATTGGCCCCTTTGTACATGCTTCAGACATACTGAAGATATACATTTCATATCTCTGCATGTCTCTTTGTTTCTTTATCTCTGATATTCAACATGGCATCAGAGCCATGAATTGATAACCTGTGCTGAATCATTCCACTGTACCTCTGAAATTCAATCTCAAATTCTACTGCTCTCTGTCGTCAACATTCTCTCTGCCACCATCACCATTATTGCTCTCTGCCGTCACAAACTCTCTGCCGCCATCACCACTACCCTCTACCGCCACGGATCTCTGCCACCACAGATCTCTGTCGCCACGAAGCTCTGCCGCCGTCACCACTGCTCTCTGCTACCACAGATCTCTGCCACCA